CTCCTCCCAGTCTCTGCTGACCCCCCCCCACAAAAAGACACAGGACTCACCTCAATGAGTTCATTACTCCAAATGCTGGCATCCATTTTTAGGCTTCTAACCTTGGAATCTTTTGGTCCCAAAGATCTGTGTTGTCCTAAAGTAAAGAACAATTGCATTTCTATTGTAATTTATATGCAAATTTCTTTCACTTTTTTAAAATTAAAAGTATATATGTGTGTGTGTACATGTATCTGTGTATGGGTGTATCTTCTCAACTTACAACACACCAATATCTACTTTCACAGATGCCAACGGCACTAAGAGATGGGGTGGTGATTAGACAGAAATGGTACCAACCACAATGAAGATGACAGCAACCGTCTTTGTCAGCACCCTGTGTTATGGTGAAAGAGAAGCAAGCCTAACTCCATTTTGTTGTAACTCTTATTCCTGAGCATCAGTGGGGAAGCAAAGCAGGCCTGACTCCAGTCTGTTGTTTTGTTATATTTTACTGCTTTAAAAAAAAACCCGGTTCCCCTTGCCTCCCTGCCGATTGCATGGTATTTTAAGTGTACTTGGTTAGAACTGTTAGAATTATTAGTACTGTGTAGAAAGTCACTAACTACCCTCATGACAACAACCCTCGTGATTATGTTAAGGTGGTCTTCATACCATCCATATATGATACTGAAATGTTAAAAGAAAAGCTTGACTCCATTTTACTATTTACTCCCTTTTAGCTTCAAAACTACTTCCTCTTATTGGCCCTCCCATTGTGTCACTGTAATCACAATCACGCATTTGCTTGTGATTGTGGCCTTAGTGATTATAGCTTTATAACCCTTGCTTGTAACTTCCCCTACCTGCATTTTCCCCCTAGGACATTGTGGTTTGTACCTATTTTGTAGGAAGAAAAATCACTAAGTGCACTCTCATGATCGTAGCATTGTATAAAATGACTGACCGCCCTACCCTCATGATTCCCCTTACCCCTTAAACTGCTATTTTCACTTCTGTAGTAATGCTTGCTTGCTCCCCAGGAAAAATTCTGCCCTATACAAACCAGAGCCACAGACAACTGGGGGCTCCTCTCAGAAACCCCATGTTGGGACACGGAGGCTGTCACCAACTGGCTCTCCAATAGAGGACTCCCAAACACCTAGGCATAACGCCTCCATTAGTATAAAACCCCACTTTTAAAAGAACACACATAGGGTGGTGCCTGTGGCTCAAGGAGTAGGGCGCCGGCCCCATATGGGGCGGTGGGGGGTTGACAGTTTCAAATCTGGCTCTGGTCAAAACCCAAAAACTGCAAAAAAAAAAAAAAAAGAAGAATATACATATATTTGTGTATCTAAAATATGTGTATAAATGAAAACTTTACTATTGTAAAACTAGCCACAACATGAATATATGTCTACTTAAAAATCTGAGGTAGATTCTTGATTCTGCTATTATATCTGGACAAGACAAGAGCCCAGCATTCTATTACAGAAAGCCCAACTCCAACTCCAGTGTAAAAACTATTGTTCCATCATCACTGAGCACACAGGGGTACATAAAAACGATTGGTAAGCTGAGAAGGAAAGTCCTAAACAAGTTGCTGTCCCTGATCCTAAGGATCTTACCTTACCAGCAGTGCAAGTTCATTCTTTCCCCTACATTATGTGAGAGGTTCTCTACCCTCCTTCTTCAAGGTGGAAACTAGTTATAGCCTAAAGTTGCAGAATTCCTAAAGCAGGAATTTGCATAGGTTTGCATGTTAAAAGACTACCAATACTGCAGTACAGTTCTGAAAAGGAAAACACTTAGAGGCAGGTAGAAGAGCTGAAAGAAGAGTACTGGTGTAACATTCCTGGGCAAGAAACTGAGAATCTAAGCTGAGGCAGCAGCACAGAAACAAAATGGAGAAAAGAGATTTAGAGACACTGACACAACAAAATGAACAGGCTTGAAGAAAACATGAAAGGGGGTCGGACATTCACGCCTGTAATCCTGGAACTCCGGCAGGCTGAGGTGAGGTGGGTGGATTGCTTAAGCTCAGGAGTTTGAGACCAGCTTGAGCCAGAGCGAGGCCTCGTCTCTAAAAAAAATAGCCAGGTGGGTGGCATCTGTGGCTCAGTGAGTAGGGCGCCAGCCCCATATACCGAGGGTTGGGGGTTCAAACCCAGCTCTGGGCCAAACTGCAGCAAAAAAATAGCTGAATGTTGTGGCAGGCACCTGTAGTCCTGATATAGGATTCCACCACTCGGGACTAGACAGGGAGTCCCCCATTCTCTAGGCTCAGAGCTCAGATCCCCATTTCCAGGCACAAGCAGACTGCCTTCCTGTGATGGTTTTTTTGAGTGGCTCCACCTTGGGTAAGACCACACACCCTAATCCCTTCTCAGGGACAAAGACTGTAAAGGACAGGATAACTACATTCATTCATTTGTTAATGCACCCATTGCCACCTACCAACTGCCAGCCAGGTACAATCCTCTAGACCTAATTCCCCTAGACAAGGAGTCCACGTGGAGAGTTCTTCGGTTCTTTTCCCTTTCCAGAAGCTCTGGTGCTTTTTACTTTTTCTATATTCCTTTCTAACTTCTAACAAAAGTCCTATCTTACCACTGATCTGTGGTCCGTGGGTTCATTCTTTGAATTCCCGAGACCAAGGACCTACTGAAAATCGAAATTCTGCTATCAGTCCCAGTTACTTGGGAGGCTGAGGCAA